ATGGTCCTGGCCAAGGCCAATGCACAGACAATCAACAAGGTAAGACTTTTAATTTTCTCTAGTAAAGTCTATAACTCTCCTGAGGTCATCTAAGATGAGTTTGTATGTCTCTGCACTGTCTCTGGTGTACAATTCTTCTTCAATGCACAGACTATTCATTAGGTATAATCTGATATACAGTATCTGATATTTTTGTGTCACTTTAATGTTTTTTTTATTAATACTCTTAATAAGGTATAATAGTCTTTTTTGTATTTTTTCTCCATTTGTCATAGCATTCCTCTCAGTAACAGTTCCAGCTGTTTTCAATTAATATACATTGAACAATTCCATGTTTTATATGCAGCTTTCCTACAACAATCATGGTGGTTATGTTCCTGAAAAGCTGTATGATTGGCAAAACTGCAGTTGGTGAATACTTGAGTATATGGCAAATAGGGGGTTATACTCCTACAATCATGGTACTCCCTTCAACAAGGAATGTACAGCAACTTGCAGATTTCTTCCTTAGAAACATACAGTACCTATTATAATGTGAATTATACTTCAAACTATTAAAATGATAAAAGTAATGTAATTAGATCATTATAGAACAAATGATAAAACCCAGCAAAAGAACTGGCTATTCTTAGGAGATCACTGAAATCACGCACTCTCTAATGTAAAATATACACAAGAGGACACCCAGCTGGGTGGAGAGATGCTGTGTGCAAGATGGGCAAGATGGTGGAGACATTTTTCTCCCTTTAAAAGCTCCCACAGGCTGAACTGTGTATGAACAAGGGTTTTCCTGTGGTTGGGAAGATTGGTACTCAATATGTATGAGCCAATACCATAGCTGACAAGCCTGCAGTTTTGGAGTGAAGGCTATCGATACAAATGCAAAGTATTTAAGTGTTAAATGTTTTAATTGAGGTTTATGAATTCATTCAAACAAATTCAGAAGCTTCAAAAGTGATATTTCAAATACTGGTCACTATGTGGAAAAAAAAAATCCTTCCACTCTCTTGCTGTTTTTCAGGTGTTTTAGTGTATCACCTGAGTTGTATTTTCAAATGCTTTACAAAATGGGGTCTTCCGTGCCAAAGCACTTTCAAGAACATATTTACAATCTCTAACATCATAACTGCAAAATTATGGTAAAACAGTAATCTCTGTTTCTGGTGTTAGAGTGAGAAATTACCAGGACAGAATCTGGGAAAGACATTTACGTAGACACAGCAGAAACAGTAGAATTGGAACTTCATATTTTAATGGCATCTTTGTGCATTGGTGCGTTTATAAATCAACTAACAAATGTGTCCTCAGAACACAAGTTTATCCAAAAGAATCATGAAATTTCAAACACAAGTGGAAACCAACAGGTAATGTTTTAGATGTTTTCTTTCAAGAGGCTTTCAATAACTACCTCGAGTGTCACTTTCTTTAAAAGAGAGGGTTTTGTTAGTTCATGGCCTGAGACAACCAGACAACGTGATCTTTGTGTCCTACAAAATGAGCTGTTGCGTAGATACCAGCCACCAGCTGCTGATGAAAGTGCCATGGTTTCATTTCAGAGGCTCTACACTGAGGCCTGGGAGAAGGATAAGCTCAACGTGCACATCATGCCAGACACTCCAGAAGTAACTCTGGCTCGGCAGAACAAGATAAACTACAGTGAGGTGAGTTGTGCTGCCCTCCTTTCCGTAATAATTTCTTATTCACAGTTTAATATTCTATGCTACATTTTTGTTTAAACAACACATGGACTATTATCTGGGCCTTTCTCAGAAACTGTACAAGCTTGCCAACGAGGAGGCTAAGAAGAAGGGCTACGATCTGCGTGCAGATGCCATCTCCATCAAGGCTGCCAGAGC